TTAAGGAGAGTTCTTCGTCGAATACGACTTCAAGATTCCTCACAGTGTTGCTAGGTGCAACGCTAACACTATCGAGTGTGATTATTCTGATCGACGAGGGAGTCGCCCAGATGCTTAGGACCGAGTAGGATCACTTCTGTCCTCTCCGGGTTAATAAGTAGATAGTTAAGAGTCATCCAAGTTTTTGACTCACTGAGCCTGGGTTCCAACGCTACAACTATGCTACACTTAAAGACCTTATGCATCAAAATTGCATGACAGTTAATCAATTAATGTCGATCTGAAATAGATTACGGCAAAAAATCCTATATTTTATAAAAAGAATATGTTTTTAATGAATTTAAATTGTCTATGCTCTAACCTGTGTGACGTCATATCGGGTAACGCCCATGCATTGAAAGCCATGGATCTATGCCTATCCTCTCTTCACTTCACTGATGTCCGACACAATACTGCACTCTACAGGTGGCAATTGCTCATTACACATATATTGCCGTTTTGAGAGTGAAAATGTGTCTCAGGTGCAACTTGAACCCCAGTTGCTGGATTATTTGTGCTTAGACACAACCACTAGACTATTTCAGCGCTAGCCTGGTCGCACCACACCTTAGTACAAATTTCATTTCTGAAAGGTCTGGATTTGCTCCATTGAGCTCCGTGAACAGGTGGGAGGGGTTAACTCCTTTTGTAGATTGAAACGATTGGATCTGAGTTTACCGTGACGTATGTAATGCACCCGAGTGAGTTGTTAGCATTTAGCATTTAGCCTATCCATCTCCTTTGCTGCTAACGGAGCCCGTGGGGAGTAGCGCCACGATCTTGACCAGGGATTACATTTGCTAAACATTCCTCTTGCTCCTGCTACAATTTCTTGATAGAACCAGACCGGAATACTTTACTATCGCAATCTTCACCACTGCCAAACTACAACCTGCCCGTTCGGCGCAAACTCTTGACGTCACCGGCACCGACCTACAACGCGCTCTCTGAGTAGCCGGTTGAAATACGACCGATTGTATTCGCTAACACAGGGACCAGACCCAGACGCTACATGCAGTGAAATGATGATTGAGCGGAGTGTACGGATGGCTATGGCCAGGCTATCTCAGTGCCAATGAAGAGACATAAACTAGTAGTATTATATTCGCTGTATACACCACCTTGTCATCTTGAATATCCGTGAAAAAAGACTAAATACCAAATTGCAAACAACTTACAGCCGGTTGAAACGTACCCGCTCTGACGTCACCAAGGGAGAAGAGGCTGTGCATTTTTTTTCGTCTCTAAGGGCTTTGCTATTAACCTTGCCTGCAAGCTGGATTCTCGCGGTATTTGTGAGTTCACAAACACTCGCGAATACATCTTGTCCCGCTCCCGCCAACCCTTTTCAAGTAAAACATCTAGGTGTTCAAGCCAATCACACGCCAGTCTGGGGGTTTAGGGCGGGTTATCCGGGTTTGACGAAAGCAAGAAGTGCCGGGCCGAAGCAAAACAAACATGGTTACGCAGGAGGACGGACGCGTATCAAGTCAGTTTTAGCAGAATCTCCAATTTCTTTTTTGAAAGATGAACAGCGAGAGGCGCTTTGTGCATTTCTGGACGGCAACCTTGGTAGGCGGGCACACAGCGTCACTTCGCCCAATCAGCTTGAAGTATTCTGCTGCTTATACACAATTACAATACAATTTATTCTTGTATAGCCCTAGGTCACAACAGAAGTCATCTCAGAGGACTTAACAAAACCATTGAAATCACCAACACAGGTCAGAGAATCAACAGTTAAAACACATGAAGAATATAAAGCACACACAGAAGAAAATGTCCATACATGTTGTAGAATGCTAAAGTGTCCTGATCATCACCAATCCTTTCTGTTGGACACTAACTGTCCAACAAGACCCTCCTGCATCGACAAGGAAAAACTCTTAAAAAACCCAGTGGGAAAAAGTGAGAAACCTTGGAGGAGAACTAGGGAAACCCTAGTCCTCCTCCCTCCTTTCCCCGAAAGGATTCTCCTGCAGAAGTCCCAGATTGATATTATGGGGAACGCATTAGAGTTCTACACAATCATCAACTGATTTTGAAACCTTTAGTAGTTCTCCTCTAATATTAAATGGTATTAAAACTGTATTTCTAAATCAATCAAACCCTGCATAAGGTCTTTATCTATCTCTAGCTATCACTACCCATCGGAGAAGGATCCAGGGTTCAGGCTTGCCATATGGCAGCTCGAGCAGTAGAGGACCGAAGGAGAGACAGAAGCAGCCATGGAGATAGTGTTTAATCCACCATGTATGTTTAAGTGAGAACTGACTAAGGTTTGAGTTTGCAACAAATGTTGAAACTAGTGTTACGGAGGTGATTCAAATATTGTAGTATTAGTTCAGATGAAGCGGTTCACCCGGACCGGTTCCCGTACAAGCGGACTCCGGGACAGACAAAAAAAAACGACACCCAAACCTCACCCACAATACAGCCAATTCAAAGTGCTTACACATGGGGTGGACAACTAGTCAGAGACGAAGAGCCAATTTTTGAACTGTGTTACTGAAAAGAGCCACATCATACAAATGGGCACACATATCACCCCACCCCTTACACACACCCTACCTTACTCACACAAACACCCCATCCCTCTCACACACAGTCAGGCACGCACGCACACCATCCTATACTCACAAAGACAAACACACACCTCTGCTCAGCCAGATTTATTGTAAATGTCACACACCAACATGATTATGACAGAAATGGACTCCTACAGTACTAAATGGCTCAACTCAACTCACCCCGATTTGCAGGCCGCAACTTGGTACTTTTTTAGTGAAGAACTAAGTTGTTTTTTTGGTTTTCAACCCAGTATTCAGCATATATCACAACCACTGTCTTTATTGAACCATTAATCCATGATTCACTCTCTAACTACGTTCAGTAAAAGATATAGATATGACACATCAACACCACTTTAGCTCTTTTAGACTTTAGAACCACAGACACACGTTCAGTATAAGACCAGATACTTATGCATTTGATTGAATACAGACACTCACCATTTCTCTCAAACTCAAAATCTGTTAGGCTTCTCTCCCGGTGTAGCTGTTGGTGTTAGCGTGTTGGCCGGTGTTAGCCAATGTCCATAAATATATCCATTTGGTCAAACCACCTCCAGACTTTTCGGTTCTGCCTCAACTTCTGCTGTTGTGACCTTTCATTTCACAGTAGTCACTTTTAAGCTTCTTAACTTTTCTCTGCACTGTTATGTCTGTGGGTACCCATTCTGCTCCGTTGTTAGCGCTACCCCCACAAACACCTTGCGGTTTCTGGTGGCACTATTGAGCTCACGCTGGTGTCCTCCCCTCGAACTGAGGAAAGTGTTGACCACATCCAGCGACCAAGGAATTGTGTTCCGTTCGGACTTCTTTATGGGTCGAGGCAACGTGTTGTTTGTTATGATTTTCAACAGCTGACGCCAGCCGTCATGGGAACTCATACACTGGGCAGAACTGGGAGGACCAGATGATGCCCAAATATGGTCGAGTTCCGCTAATCTTTCGGTCGCCATGGTGGCACATGCGCCACTGAGCACAAGACATTGATTTGAATAGGACACCATCTTGGATCGCCGGGGCTTGGTCAAAATACACTCACCGGATAAGGAAGCAGCTTCAAAACACACTCCTACAAAATCGTGTAAATTCACCCACTTTGTTTTATCAGTGTTGAAATCTGAGGAGCCCTAACAGTGCTTTCATGTCTATAAAACATTTTGGGAAATCACAGCAGGAATTGCATGTGAGAAAATCTATTTTGGCCCAAAACTAAACTTCACATAAAGAAACATCTTCAAACTAAATGTAAATATAGTACTTTTATTAAAATAACATTCACTTCAATACATAATATGAACGCAAAGGAATCTTGAACATTACAGTCTGTCAAGTTAAAAATAAAAAAAGGTTCACAATAGAAATTTGTCCCGGATTCCCATGGGAGGCTCTCATAGCACCGCCAACAACAGACTCAACACGAGAACAATCCACAACATGAGGTTTGACTGGAGACACAATGAATATTCAATGTTGAGAAATAATTATTGCATGAAACCCCTTAGGCTTTGTTTGCACCAAGCGGATTGGTACAGGAACAATGCAAAAGGGAACTTGAAACCTGAAATGCATTTAGAGACTGTCATTCATTTAAATATGTTTTGTATGTATGCTGAAAGACGGTGTATAATTATTATACACATGAATTGAAACCACAAACAAAAATGCAAAATATATAACAACATAATTCAACAAGGAAAAAATATTCCAGTAATTACACTTTATAAACAATAATTTCATTTTTGCAGTGAGGTTCAATGCCACAGTCACTGTAAACGTGGCCATGTTCAGACCACACATGAAGTTAGCAATCAGTGGATATATTTCTTTGTGATAAATTACATTTAGACAAAGTGAAAACAGTGAAAACAGAGGAATTTTATTAGTATAGGGTTGATTTGTGACGTGAGCCTTTCAACACATGTAGAGACTATGGTTAACTGAACGGTTTGTGGAGCTGAGGTCAGAGGCTAAGGCCCACTATAGCTGAGATCAGAGGCTGAGGGCCACTGTCAGACATCCCAGTTTGGAGAGTTTGTGCTGCCTTTCATGTTCTTCTGGGCAAAAGACACTTTATCTGTCTTTCTGTAGAGGAGTATTGTATTTAGCACCATTCTATTTGGCATACACATCGCCCATGGCTCTATAGTCCCACTGGAGGAGGATGTAGGACACTGCACTCAACTCACTTGTACCAGGCGGCTGGGTGGAAGCAAAGCTGTACACACTTTAAAAACAGCACATCTCATATATACAACACCACTTTCATATTATTAATAAGACAAGACAACACTGCTGACGGTAAATCTGTTATAAATATAGGTGTGAGTTCATTCCCTGCTGGTACAAAGTGTCCATGGCTCTGTGTTCATAAATCCATGTGTTCAGGTTCAGTTAACCATTGAAGCAGACTGGACCCACCTGGAATCCAAACTTCTGATTTGTGTTTCCGAAGTCGGAGACAGCCACATCCACGATGGGCAAAGAGTTAGAGTGAGGAGCGTGGATCTCCAGTAGTGTCCTCTCCTGTCCTGAGCGGCTCTGCACACACACACACACACGCACACACACGCACACACACGCACCCACAGATACACACTTTTATACATGCTGAACAACAATTCATTAGTCCAGGGAGCCACGTTCAAAGTAACCGTTTATTTGTATTGAAGGGTAAAATGTGTGTTTCCAGAACATTATTTGATAGTGATTAGATTCACAAACCCGTCATTATAGATCTTAAGGATCTTAGGCACACTGTGTATTTTTCACTCCCGTCTAGCGTTGAGATCATATAATGCAAGTCTATTTCTACCACTAACTGCTAATTTACACATCACGCGTTACAGCACGTACGCGTTATACGTGCAGCAGACGCGCGTAACTTTTTTCCATGTTAACCTATGATGATATTTACACTTCTAGCGTTATACGCACGTATGACGGACATGTGACGCGAAGCTGCGCTCTAATTTAGGATGGATTTCTAATTTTGTGCGCGCACCAACGCGTCTCCCATTGAAATCTCATGTAAAACTTTATTTTTCTAGCGGTCCTTGGCTTTAGATCACAGCTGCACGCACACTGCACTTGTGTCTAAACATCAGCAGGAGGAGCAGCAGGTTTTACAGTGATTCTGGACATCGTTTTTTTTCTTTCATAAAGTCTCGCGTCTGGCCAAACCAGCGCACAGAGACCATGAAGACAAACACATGCATGTGATTTGTGTTGCTCTACATCAGTCCTCTGGCTCGTACTGTCCTCTACACTGCTCCATAGACTACACAGGGAGCGCATCAGAAGCCGCGGACCTGCGCGCACGGTCAGTGTAGATACTCCAAAAAAATGTTACGCGCAGAGAGTGCGCAGTAAACGCGTACGCGCTGTTTACGCCTACTGTTTAAATCCCCCGTAACACTACGGAAGTCTCTGAGGAGCATAAGTCGTGTCCCCAACGGTTATTCCCCGGAGCACTTAGGAAAGATTTCTTTAGTTGAATAAATGACCAGATCTCTCCATACACCGTGCCACTAATGTGGTGGACTTGTAAACAAAGTCAGCTTTGTGAAGCGGCACACACTGCACAGAGGTGTTTTACCATAGATCTATTATAATATATATAGTTTTACAAACGCGGGGAGAAGAGAAAAGATGCCTGGAGGAATGGAAAATCTGTGGGAGCTTAAAAACACGGTGGTCCGAGAAGTCAGGAGGACATTGCCTTGGACACAGCCGCGGCAGAACTGTGGCTAAAAGCTTAGATTATTAGCTTTCACCAGGCGCTGTTTTGTAAGAAAACAGAACATTCAAACTCACACTTTTGATATCCTGGCGATTGTTTTGCGGGTATTCTGTGTGTTTTGCATAAGATAAGATAAGATAGACTTTATTGATCTCACACAGGAGAAATTTACATTTACATGTTAAAGGCAAAAAATAAAGTCTGTTCAGGATATATTATGTACAATAAAAAAAGTGGCAATAAAAGAAACAGTGTCAATAGTGCAGGTTTTTTAGTCCTAGTGCAAAGTGACTTATTGTACAGTTGACGGCGGTGGGGATAAAGGCCCTGCGGTACCGCTTCTTCTTGCACTGAGCGTGTCTCAATCTTCCACTGAAGGAGCTCCTCAGCTCCTCTACAGTCCTGTGCAATGGGTGGAAGGTGTTGTTCATGATGGAGGTGACTTTGACTACCCTCACCTCCTCCACAGAGTCCATGGGGCAGCCCAGAGCGGAGCTGGCCCTTCTGACCAGCTTGTTCAGTCTACTCCTATCCCGCTCTGTGCTCTATGACAGAGTCATAAAAAGTCTTGAGCAGAGACCTGCTCACTCCGAAGGACTGCAGCCCCCTCAGAAGGTGGAGGCGACTTTGGCCTTTCTTGTACAGGGCGTCCAGTCCAGTTTATTGTTTATGTGAACACCCAGGTACTTGAAGCTGTCCACCAGCTCAATGTCCTCCCCCTGGATGTCACGCAGAGTATGGGAAAGTGGTTTTCTCCTGAAGTTGATTACCATCTCCTTGGTCTTACTGGTGTTCATGCACAAGTAGTTGCGCTCACAGCAGTCAACAAAGTCTGTGATTCCCCCCAGACACACACCCCACAATGGCGGAGTCATCGGAGAACTTCGGCAGGTGGCAGCTGTGTGTGTCATATGTGAAGTCTGAAGCGTAGATGGTTAAGAGAAACGATGAGAGCAGCGCTCCCGGTGGGCCCAATTGGGAGTGTGTCCGCTGCAGCAAGTAGATGACGGCCTCCTCTACTACGACGTTGGGCATGTAGGCGAAGTGCAGCGGGTCCAGGGTGGAGCTGACCACGGAGCAGATATGGGTGAGGATGAGCCGCTCCTTGGTCTTCATCAGGTGGGAGGTCAGTGCGACTGGTCTGTAGTGAGCCGGTTCCTTGGCGTGCGCTGTTTTAGGAACTGGGATCACACAGGAGGTCTTCCACAGGACAGGGACCTTCTCCTGGCTGAGCCTCAGGTTTCGACCCCACGCATTTCCACGCCCTGGCCACGCCCCTTCCTTTCGGGTTCAATTTTTTCCCGTTAGGGGTCAAAAACCCCCATCAGCCCGCCCTTCGGTGGGTGGGTCCCTCGCCGCCATAGAATGCCGCCCGCTCCAAGGAATTTGCGCCAAAATGGCGTCTTCCTTTTGGGAACAATTCCGTCACGGGAAAGTGTCCGTAACGGCCCCGCCGGGCGCACCCCCATCGGACTTAATGGAAATCTTGATTCAAATTCCATAAGGGGTACCTTAACATTGCCATGTCCAAGTCAAGTCCAAGTCAAGTCCAAGTCCATGCCCTGGAGTCCAAGTCAAGTCCAAGTCCCTGGACCCGCATGTCCAAGTCTCATTTCCTACGCATTAAAATTATGGCCAATACCATTTAAAATGGACTAAAATATATGAATTCATTGTACTGCACTGCTACAAAAAAAGTTTATTTTTTCGGTTTGCAGAAGCATGTACTGTAGAGGATGTGTGCAATTTCAACAATTAAAACACAGTGCAATAGTCTACGTTACAGAGTTACAAACATGTCACTACAGTGACGGCACAGACCAAAACTATTGTTTGTTACAGGATGACAATGGGACATTTAAAAAAAGTCTGAAATACATAATGTCAGCCAATGGCTGTCATTAAATCTGTTTGTTTGTTTGCAGCATTTTACTGTTGGCACAACCAACATGAGCTGTTAATGCGAGGGAAAATTTAGGTACCCCAGCTTTAATTTTACAAGTTTAGGAGGAGACACGGGGAGACATGGAAACGTCAGGAGGCTCTATCATCCAGCTCTGTGTATTGGAGAGGTGTATAAAGACACACACATAACAAGCAGAGAATGGTCCTATGTGCGCGTGTATGGTCCTGGGGACAATATGACCACAGTCTGCGTGCTGCTGTTGACAGCAGCTCACAGCTCATACACAACTGATGCACAAAGTGATGCAGCCAACGCGTGCATTCCCGCACAGTCAAGACCCGCGATCGCGGCCAAAAAGCGCGCACAGCCGAGGAGCGTGCACTGCCAAAGAGAGCGCACCGCCATAGAGCGCGCACAGCCAGCGCGCACAGCCAAAGAGCGAACACAGCCAAAGAGCGCGCTCCCTTACCAGCCTGTGAAATGGTTGGATCTGGAGCGTCAGGACTCGCAAGTCCGAAAACAACAGTCCGAGTCAAGTTCGAGTCTTCAGGGGACGAGTCCGAGTCAAGTCCCGAGTCTTTAGGAGACAAGTCCGAGTCGAGTCGCAAGTCTCTAAAAATAGCGACTTAAGTCGGACTTGAGTCCGAGTCCGACTCGCGAGTCCTCATCTCTGTTCTAGAGTGCCCCTAATGGAAGTCTCATCTTTAGGGACTTACTGCCAGCCAAAAAGGGCGGGAAACCTTTTAAACTCCATTGTTTAAATTTGGTTAAAGCTACAAAAATGTTGTATGTTGATGCCTGGTCCGAGTAGAACCGTGCAACTCCAAGGTCAATGGGGTCAAACCAGGGTCAGACGAGGGTCAGTCCTCTATTTTCAATGCTTTTTCCCCATCAATTAGAAATTACCTTAGGTATGGGGCTAATTATACTGTGTGTACATGTCACAGTGGTGTATATTCAAGGGCCAAAACTACAAGTTTGTGTGACCTTTGCTTCTATCAAAGGTCAAGAAAAAAAAACACTTTTTGAGGCCTAAATTCTATTTGGGTGCCAATTTCACTGTGGAAAATTGGCCCTAATGGAAAAAGGTTTGTTTCCGTTTATGCTCCAAAAGATGGAAGACAATCATACTTTGACACAATTTTCCACTATGTTCCACATTATCCTTTACTCTATTCAGATGTTTTTGTCCAGTTTCGTTTTGACCACCAGAAACTGAAATAGCGCCCCCTACGTCCGTTGGACTGTAAACTTTGGAATCCTATTCCTTATCTATTTAAACATGGATTCTTGAAATGTGTCATTTCCACCAAAATCCACCATTTCACAGACATTCAAAGGGTGAAAGCGATGTATTTTTGAAGTCCCGCCTTTCAAAAACGATACGCCCGCCAGGCACGAACCTATCTCATTGGACTCGTCTCATTACCCTTAACGACATGCTACAAAAACAGCTTTCCAAAACATGTGGAAAAATTTTGAACACGATTTTCAAAGTAATGAGGAACTAGACCCTGACCCCATTTGAAAAGCTGATTTACAGACAGCCAATTAACTCTCCTGGGGGTCCCAGCTAAAATCCAACAATGGATTATGGTAGAGGACCCTCACACCATTCTCTGTACTAAATTTGGTAGCCCCGGGGTCAAAGGTCAAGCTATAAGGCCCAAAAAGCACTTGTTTAAAATTATACCCCTAACGGAATTTTTGTGCCCCAAACAGAATTCTGCACCACATTTTGGGTTCTAAACCATTTTAGCTTCAAGTTAGGAGGCTGAAAATTCAGTATGTTCATCACGAGAGCATGCCGAACGCAACGATATAAGCCACTTGGTCAAACTAAAAAAAAAAAGGGGTCAAATTTGAACAAAAGATTGTCTCCTAGTCGGGGCC